TTGATAGAAAGGTCAGCAGTTCAAAACCATTAGCTGCTCCACCGGAGCAAAAACTGGGAGAACCCACAAAGATTTAGTGTCTTGGAAACCCACCAGAGCAGCCTTACACTGTCCTTTAGGGTAACTATGACTAGGATGGCAGTGAGTGAGCGAATACTTCCATGGAAGAATGCTGCACTCTAATTTACACCATGTCGAAAGGAGGAACTTTTAGCCTCCCTGAGGAACTCAAATTATTTTCCTTTTAAGTGTTCTTTGAATTTTGGGAATAAAAATCATTTGGAAAGGGCAAAATCAGGTCTGTAGGGTGAATGGGGTAAGGGCTCTCAGTAAAATTCTCACAGGACAGCTCTTGCAACCCTCCAAGAATGAGGTGTATTGTTGTGAAGGGAGGAAAAAAAAAATCCTTGCCCGAGTTTTTGGGGGTTTTTTTTTTGGCAATGCTATTTCCTTTTCTTAAACCTTCTTAGTAAGCCCTGCGGTGGTCCTTTTTGACCTTGAATTTAACTGGCCCAGCAGATTCCCTAGAAAGCACTGTTTTGACTGGATTCCAGGTTCATCCCTTCACACACACACCCCCCCAAAGCATCTTAAGGAAACTAAGAACAACACTGAGAGAATTGTCTATAGGTATTCACTAATTGCAGAGAAGTTTAATTCTATTTTGTTTGGAATAAACCTGTGTATATAAACCTGAACACTAGTAGCAGCATTTTATTCACCTTCATATTGAGATGAAATGATCCTTAAAACACGAGTTTTTAAAATCCCAATGAAAAAATTCACTGAAAATTACATCTACCGTGTGAATTCAACACTCTGTAATTTGGATACTGATTTATGAAAAACAGAGTAACTTCCCTATAAAAATATGAAATGTCACACACATTACATACTTTAGTACAATATTTTCAACCAGTTCACTATAAGTGTGAAATGTTCTTTTCTAGGGGTCCTATCTCAAACATTTAAAACTTCCAGTATTTGGAACTGGGGTTTTTGCACAAGATTATTGGCTAAAGCTGGTTTCACTAAAAACAAGCTGCAACAATAGCAAGGGGGGGAAAGGTGGGGGGCCATTTCCACAGCTGCAATATAAGGAGCAAAAGAGGAGGCAATACGCAAGGTTTGATAAACTCTGAAAGAGTGCAACCAGGGCTGCTTGGTTTATACTACAGATAAACAAAAAATTCTTTATGTTACCTCCTCTACCCCACCCCTACACCATCATGCTCTAAATCCAATCCTCTACCTAACCACTCCTCATAATAGCTTTATGGCAATTTCTCTCCAGTCTGTAAAGTTTAGATATTATCTAGGGAAAGCAGATCTGCAGAACAGGATGGCCCAACTCTTCCACAGCAGAAAATTTTTTTTTGCTATTTGATCTCATTCTTCTTGTAATGCCTCACCACTAGCCACTCAAGAAAACAGCCTAAACTAAGATCCAGTGTTAGTGTGCATCCCTCTAACTTTAAGCTAGAAGTATAAACCCACTAGTTCATTTGTTCTTTAAATATATAGCAACTTTAAGGAATGGTCATTTGCCAAAGGGACCAGAAAATAAAGCTTACATAAATATATACTATATAAACACTAAAACATCAGCAGAGAGAGAACTTTAGTCAGTTCTCCACAAAATCACAAAAATCACATTTATAGTTAAGCGTGTGATTGGTAAAGGTGATGAAGAAAAAAAAGCTGTGATCAGGTAACATTTCCAAAAGCTCCTCAGACTACACAAAAGAAAGCAATCTTGAAGGGAGACGTCGGACGGTGTAAGACATGTAATTTATAAATTATCAAGGGTTCATGAGGGAAGGGGGAGGGAGGGAAAAAAATGAAGAGCTGATACCAAGGGCTTAAGTAGGAAGCAAATGTTTTGTGAATGATGATGGCAACAAATGTACAAATGTCCATGGCAAAATGGATGGATGTATGGATTATAAGAGTTGTATGAGCCCCTAATAAAATGATTTAAAAAAGAAAGCAATCTAGCTTATATTATTTGGGTCTGTGTCCCCAAAGAAAAATCTCTGGCAAAAGCTCTGAATATGCTTTTAATATTTTAACTTCCTTAGAAGTAAGATAGAAATAAACATACAAATCCTCTCTGTTTGAAAAGCTGCGTACATTTCTGGGATTCAAAATTTTGTTCCAAAAGGAACTCCAGCCTCTCACTTATAGGGCAAGGATGCTTTTTGGCCTGAGAGCCTATCCCAGACTTTTTACCTTATACTGCTAAGCTCTTAAGTCTTCCTGGAAAGCTATGTGGGAGTATTATGGATTTGAAAATAATTATATACTTTCAAAATCATCTTGTTTCAGAAGGAAAAGGCTATTGAAATTTTAACTCTCTTGAAAAAGGAAAAAAGTCTTTTGTGCGGAGGGTTGGTAGGGTCACCCACACAGTGGGAGGGACCCACTTTCTCCAAGCCTGGGGCTCTCTCAAGATCTGTTCATTGCTCTGACATACATCATGGAATGACAGACACAGCACATTCCTTCTGACAGCAGCATGAATCAACTAATATTCAAAAGAGACCCACAATGATTTACACAAGAACCTGAGAATCCCTCCAATGCAGTTAAGGTTCATTTTGCCTATAAATGTGGCCAGTCCAGAGACCATGACGTTTTCTGTATAATAACCCCTTGATCCCTCTGACACATCGGAACAAACATGACATAGGTTGAGCTATTGGACCAGGAAGACCTAGGTTCACATCCTGATTCCATTCATTTGCCTTGTGACTTGATTTCTGAATCCTAACAAGTGTTTTCAAGATAGATCTCCAAAACTGGCCCGTAGGCTGAATCTCTTTTCAGAGGCATATTACATTTGATCCAGACGGAGGTAAAAAAATTTTAAATGCCAGATTAAATGGTTTCTACAATCAAAACAGATAGCTAGCGCCTCTAGGAGCATGTCTGCTCCCTTTAGAGAACTATAGACTCTGAAGTCTAATGGTCACTACATTTCTTTTCTTCCTTTACTTATGTTATGTTGCCTCAGGCCCTTGTGGGGATTTGAGTTTGTAGCCACTTTAAAAATTAATGACAAAATTAAAACTTGGTGCCCAGTGAAAAATGCTTCACTGTTGTTGCTGCTAGGTGCTGTCAAGTCAATGGACTCAGCCCTAGGTACAACCGAAGGAAACACAGCCTGGTCCTACACCATCCTCACATTTGTTATTGGAGCCCATTGTTGCTTTTTCATTTATTTTTTTCATTATTAATTTATTTCATTTCAATTATTAGTATGCTTAACAAGTTGAGCATTGAACCTGACGGCTTACTACTTTTATAATGTTCCGCCTCGTGGACACCCATATCACAACAAAATAGACATCCACAGAGCCACTTCCTTGTCAAGAGCCCAATCCAAACCACCAGTGTCTTCAACATAATGCTTGCTCATTGGGCTGTGATCCACAGGGTCTACAGTTCAAAGCCACCAGCCATTCTATGGGAGAAAGCCGTTCCACAGAACTTTATACTCCGGTAAAGTTATTGTTTCAGAAATTCACAGGGGTAGTTCTACCCTGCCCTATAAGGTCACGATGAGTGAGCTGGAGTTTGGGGTTTGCTGGCTATACAGATTGCCACAACATCCCTTCCATACAAGGTAGACTTAGCCAAGTTAGTGTTCAGGGATTCTTGGGGGAGGCAGGGAAAGTAAACTTTGTTTATATTACAAAGGCTTCCTTACATATTCATATGGGGTAATCAACTTCCAAACTCCATAGCACTAAGAGGCTACGGTCAGGCCTCTCAAGTCTAAGGAAAATCACTGCGGTTAAAGAACGACGACGACCTCAGCTGCAATGTACTCTGGGAATACGGTTCAGCCCCGAACCAGCGTCCAAGCAGAATACATTCCCGGGGTGGGCCCTCACACTACCATCTGGGGGTGTAGGGTAGATCTCACAAGCTCAGTGCCCGGATGAATGCCACTCCTTTCTTTTTCACGTCCCATTGGGAAAAACAAAACCAGAAAACAATCGCCTAGGTGCGGCTGCTCGGGGTTTCAGTTTCCCTGGGTGGCTTTTTTTTTCACCCCAACCTGTGTCCCCAGGCGCCCAAGGGTGCAAACTCCCCTCCACAGGCACTCTTCCGGCGGACACGGGGCAGCCCCGAGCCAGGTGGTGGTGCACCTGCGTTTGTTTAGCAGAGTGCCTCCTGCGACCAGCCTGCCCCAGCTGGGGACGCCGCCCGCCCTTTACTCAAGGGCCCGGCGGGCCGGCCGGCCAACCGACCGACCGACGGACCAAGCGCAGCAGTCGCCGCATAAATGCACGCTCCTCAGAGCCCAAGCCTGCAGTGGGGCGGCCTCGCAGGCGCCCACCCAGCTTCTCGCAGCCATCGGGCGTTTCCTGAGCGGCAGGGGCTTTTCCACGCCAAGCGTCCGACTTGGGTGCCACCCTGCAAAGGGCCAGGCGCGAGCGCCACCGCCCGCCACCCCCTGCCCGCCGACGGGGGCACGACCGGGCCCGGGTGCCCTTGTGGTCTACTGGACTCCGGCCGACCACCCGACAGAAGGCCCCGCCGGCCGCTGGAGAGAAGGGGCGTCCTCCCGGGGCCCTCTGGGATTACGGCCAGGACGCGTGGCCGACTTGACGGTAAAGAAGAACCGGGGAGAAAAAAAACTGGGAAAGGTCACCAAGTGGCCCCAGGCAAGTTCAGCCACCCCCTTTCGGCGGTAGTGCCCACTCACCCTCCCCTCAGGCCAGGCGCGGGCCTTGCGAAACCGCATGCTGGCCCGGTGAAGTCCCGGAGCGCCGGAGCTCGGAGCTCGGGGAGAGGCGGCCCCTCCCTGTGGCTTGGACTGAGGGGCCAATGCCTCGACGGCAGAGTCACGTGCATTCGTCTCTTCAGGCCTCAGGGGCCTGGAAAACAGACGCTGGTGGGGCCTCGGGCTGCTCCACTTCGGCCACCTCCGCGACCGGCAGGGTCGCTGACCCACACCCCGCCTCCCCGCAACCCCGCCCCAAACCCACCTCAAGGCGTTGGTCTCCGCCCTCAGTCGCCGCCTGCACCTTCTCCAGTGCGAAACCGAGTCGCACGTGCCCGGCTATCCACCCGCGCGCGCCCCTACCTGACCGCCCCAGTCCCAGAACCCCCACTCCAGGGCCAAGCCAAAGTGTGAAGCCACGTGATCTCCTCGCACGGGAGGGGGGAGGGGCGAGCGCGCGGAGAC